TGCATGGTCAATCATCAGCTTTAAATATATCTTTGTACGTACCGCATTAATTGAGCATTTAATGTGTGTACAGTACCATGTTCCCGTCGAGTGGCTCCTAGCCGTTAGTGTATTTCCCGTTAGTTTCCCGGCCGTTGGAAAGTGCCACCGAACTCTGCTAACTAAAAGCAAGTCTGAAGAGGTTCACTGGTTCAAACTCTGATGACCGTCTCTGATGCCAACTCTGGTACTTACACTGGTACCCAGCTCTGGTAGCTTCTCTGATGAGCAACTCTGGTAGCAACTCTGATCAAGAAGTCCAAGAGGATCTCTGGCACGTCGACTATGCTAATACTTACAGAAAGAAATTCTAATACATAATTTCTAAAGGGGGTACTTTCAAATTCTAATAATCCTAGCATCATCAAAATCTAGGTACATTTATTTCTTACAATGGGTTGTCTCCCTAGTGTGGGGAGAGGTTTTGATGTCTCCGCTAGTTTCGCCTAATCAGGGGATTCCGTCTGTCCTCATACGGGTTGTGTACTTGTGTAGAGTATGATATGGGTATCAAGAAGAAAATTTATTGTTCATCCATATTGGAAGTTTGGAACAGTCCGGCCTTCTTTGGAACCACCTCTGTGGCATGAAGGGATTTTTTGGAACATAATATTTATGCATTATTTTTCTTTATTAGCACTTGTATTTATTGTAGTTCGAGTAAGTTTGGTTTATTTTCTATTTTTGAGAACTTTTAATATACATGCTTCATTTTTTGTCATTTTAGACGTAAATTTGACTGTTTTGTATCTTGCGAGTCAGATTGTTTTGTATAATGTGGTCGACTCTATGTTTATTCTCAAAGCTTACGATGAGATCTGTAATAGTCATCTAGATGATGCCTTGCATTTTATTTATATCAATATAAGTTGGTTTATCATATATATGATCTCACTATATGTTCCCTCACTATATGATCTCGCATAAAAAAGTTTATAAAAAAAAATTCGTGATAATCAAATTATTGGCGTTAGAAGCTACAATACCTCCGTGCTCCAACATTGTGAAACTAAATATCACAAGACCGACACAAACACACATAGTGAAAACACGAGAGAAATTGTTTACAATAACAACGTGCGAGTTTTGGTCGCAAAAGATTATGGGGTTGACTAACATGAATCATACCTATATCGCAGGCAAAGAGAAGAAAAGATAAAAAACAAAAAATGGTAATGTATGATAAAAAAAAGATAGAAAAAATGAAATAAAGATAAACAACTTCAATCTTACTTTTTCTTATTACTACACAATTTAGCGCGCGAAGAAAAAATTACGTGTTTTGTGAAAAGCGACATAATCGGTTTTACATCAAAAGCGGGAAGCAGCTAGGGGTGGACTCGGGCCGGGTGGCCCGATCCGGAACCGGCCCGAGACCGGTACTGTTCCGGCCCAGCCCGACCCGGTGGCCCGGTGGCCCGGTCAGTGACCGGTCCGGGTAGGCCCGGCCCGTGGGTTTTCCGGTCCGGGCTCGGGTCACCCAAAACAAGGCCTGACCCGGCCGGGCCCGGTTCGGGCCAAAACCTTTTTTTTTTTCAATTGTTTTTAAATTTTCGGGTTGGGCTGGGTATTTTGGGCCATTTGGGGTGGTTTGGGGGGGTTGGGGGTGGGAGGGGGGTTAATTAGGAAGAGGAAAACAAAAAAAAATATAATGAGCCTGGCCAGGCCTGGCCCGGACCGGACCCGGTGGTTACCCGGGCCAGTCCCGGGTCCACTATTTCTGAACCGCCGGCCCGCCCGGGCCTAGGCCCGACCCGGACCCGACCCGGACCCGAGTCCACCCCTAGAAGGGGTAATGACATGTTTTTTTCTGCTTTTCGTTAATTTTGTAAATAAGTGCAAGTTGGGGGAACTTTCTATTTAGAACATGTTCATTTATATATCTCATTAATGCCCTTCCCATCATCTGCTACATTACTCTCCTGGGTATTGCTACATTACTCTCCTGGGTATTGAATCTGATCTACATCTTTCTGATTTAATTTGAATCTTTCTCTTTCTGATCTGATCTGAAATTTTCTCATCTGAATTTTTCTAATCTGATCTGAATAAAACAAAATAAGCAAATATTTCCTCCATCCCTTAAAACTTTGTCACTTTCCCTTTTAATATACTAGAACATCAAGAATTCGAAGCTTTTCCTCTCAGTATTTGGTCTGTCAGCAATCAACATGAAGCTTTCCTCGCCGCTCTCGTGATGATTTGGTGGCTCTGTCCGCGGTCCAAAACGCCGCCGCCGCCGCTGTTGAATCGACGGCATATGCCCCTGCCCATGCGCCTACCTCCGATACTGGATTGCACTTCTAAATTGTGATCTAGTCCTATTCTTAAATTCAGACGGTTGAATGGAGATGTTTTCATCAACAACAAAAATGAGAACTCCACCGGAACCAGTGAAGAGCCCCGACAACCTCCGCGTTGATCTATCGGTAAATCGTAACTGCGAGGAATGCTTTGAGGTTAATTTGTGTCTCGTAGATGATATTTGAGGTGGGTGGGAGATTCCAGGACCAAAGTGATGATATTTGATGTGAAACGAGAACAAGAAGATAAGATGTACAGAGTTCTGAGGGTATATTTGTAAGTTAATAAAAAAAGGATGACCCCATCCCTGAGGGGTCCCTAACCCCGATCGGACGGTACGTTGAGAGGATGTAAGTTGGACTATAATCCCAATCTGACAGATAGAGAGTGGAGTTCTGTCCCCGATACTTGCAGAGGTCCTATGCATTTTTTAGCATAGTAACCCCTCATCGCAGTTGACGGGATTCGATCCAGTTGAGCTACGTCCACCGGTTATATTTGTAAGTTAACAAAATACAACGGAGTACACCAAAAATTACTTTTTGTTTATCAAACACTCAAATTTTAACTTTTTCCATCTTAATCACTTCTACTCTAAAACTATGTTGTAAAAATCGGATCGGGAAGCGACCCGACCAAACAACTGGGTCACGAGTCAGCCCGGACCCGGGTGGGTCAACCTGGTCAATCTTGGAAAACCCGGTCAACATAGACTTAGAATTATTATTTCAAAATATACAAATTTTAATGAAATATAAAATGTATATTAATTTATACATTTTATCTTGTGTTATTGTTATCTTATATTTATTTATCTTTATTTTATTCATTTTATCTTACTTTTTTTTTCTCTTTCTTGTCCGTCTTCTCTTTTTGGCTTTTTTGATATCAGAGATTGATTAATGTTAGCCGACCCCAAATTCTTTTGGGATTAAGGCTTGGATGTTGTTGTTATTGTTGTTATAAAATGTATATTAAATTAGATGGATATTGAATATGAATATGATGCTTATTAAAAAATGAAATATTATACTCCCTCCGTCCCATAAAATTCTTCTCACTTTCCATTTTGAGTCGTCCCAAAAAATTCTTCTCACTTACCATTTTTGGACAATTTATGTGATTCACTTCATTTCACCTTTTTCTTACAAAACCACAATCACATGTTTCCATTTTATTTCATTTTCTTAATATCCATGCCGAGTTCGGTCACATTAGCGGTTGGGGTACAACCGAACCGGATTGGGCTCCGGGTGACCGGGTTCCGGGTCAACCTGTCCGGTCCGGTTCGGTTCTTAAAACATAGCTCTAAAACACTACTCTCTCCATTCCAGAAAATTCTTGCCACTTTGATTTGACAAATGGTAAGAACTAAGAAAAAGGTGAAATGAATGTGAACCACACAAATTATCAATTTTTACTAAAAAACATTTCTTCAAAATAATTTAAAAAGGCCATTTGTGTAAGTTGAAGCAAACACAGCGGCTGAACAAAAAAAATAAAGTTGGACCAATGGAAAAATAAATTCGCCCATTTAGAAAGAGTGAACATGGCCGGAATTATATAAATTATATAATTATAATTTGGGTAAAATTATATAAATAAATTGATGAAATGGGATGAAAACTTTAATAAAACCAGGAAATCTCCAATAAACCAAACATTCCAATCCAGCTGGTTGTCTAACCCGCTAGGCACATATTGGGTAAAACAATGTACTGTGTTGCCAAAAGGTTTTGAATACATACATATATAATTATAATGCTTTGAGGTGAGGGGAGCCTGTGGTCAATCAATTGCAGATTGCAGCAGAAGGCGATGCTTACTGCAAGGCTAAAATGACCCCCTCCCATATTCACTTCACTTTTGCTCCTTGCATTTATAACATATACCACTTCTCTTCAAATACAACCATCACTGATTTTTCCAAGTGTGGCATTGTATAAATGGATGTAGATGAGCTGGGACAGACACATTTTTTCCCTCTGCACGAGTATGCATATAGCTTCAGGTAAAAAAAAAAGTGAAATCTAAAGAAACTTAAAATCCCTCTAGCTTAGCTCAAAAAGACCGGTGATTTTTGCTCTCAAACTTTCTGTTATTCACTTTATTACTCCAACATATGTTTGGGTCTAAGAATCATTATGCCCTGGACATTTGTATATAATAACAAGAATGGACAAATTGAATCAAATCTTTCAAGTTATATCTTATATGGTTCGCTCCTTCAAAACGTGTACAACAAAAACTTAAACCAAGTACAACAAACCATTGTTGCCATCAATGTGTTGCAACAACATAAAGTCATAAACAAGCAAGCTCACTAACAACTTTTCGACTTAGGGAAGGGGAGAGTTGAGGCCTTCTTGAGAGGACAAGGAGCGGATGTTCTGATACCGTTTGGAAGAGACAGACGGCCTTCGGATGAGCGAAGGGCGCTTGCTGAGGCGGTGTAAAGTGCGCTTGGTGCGGACAGACCGGAAGAAGGGCAATACGCGCTCCTTTGCTTTCAGAACAAAAAAGAATATGAGTCTGTACACTACAATCAGGCTGTACAATGCCAGCAGATCCCACCACTTGGAATGATCGAGTGGTAATTTGTACATGTTTCTCAACACGTCCACTCCTTTTATCTTTTCTCCCCCGGGAAACAATGGATCGAATTCAAGTCCAATTATGTCGTTCTTGTATGCTCCCTGCACACCAACACACACACACACACACACACACGTTTTTACTATTCAGTTCAAGGAAAAATACGTACTACTAGCTTCTTCAAATATTGGATATATGTGATATGTGTTGTCCAATCGCTGTGAGAGGGTGAACTCACACCAGATATATTAAACACCGAAACATACATATTAAGCGAAAATATTAAATACTACCTTCGCCCCATAATGTAAAAAAAAAAAATAGGATAAAGGTGAAATGATGGGTAAAAGGATAAAATGGGAAAATAAAAAGTTAGTTGAGTTGAATTTAGGAAAGTTTTCAAAAGGAAAGTATATCTTACAAAATATTCGTTCGACAACAAAAACATGATATCATACTTGAACAAATTTAACTTCTTCCGCAGTAAATTATTCACAAAGTTTTTATTTTTTGAATTTATGTTTGAATCTAAAAATCAGTTTATATTATTATGTATGTATTTTGAATTAATGTAAATTTCAAATGCACAATCATCATATCTAAAAGGAGATGAGACTTAAAATTCAGGGCTCTATCCAAGAGGTGAAAGGAGAAATAAATGAAAGTGTATGTTGGTTAGTATTTCCTTGCAAAACCATAGTATAGTAGTGAAAGAAATGGAGTAAAAAACGACGTTTTACGAATTATCACCCAGCTTACCTGCAGAGACCATGCCCCGTAACCTATGAACGAAATTGGATAGCGCCAAAACACTTTGGGAAGATCATTCAACAAGCGGAAAAATCCAGCTGTCATCATCATAATTCCCTGAACAGAGAAGAATATATAAATCGTACTTTAATGGTCTAAATTCAATGGTTTGGTTCCAGAAAAAGTTGGGATAGGTAAACTTACCAGAACGCCAGCACCAGTAATGATTCCCATTAAAAAGTTGGGAACCAGGGAAGCGACAATCATCATGCAGCTCTCAACCATAGCAATACATCCAAAGAGATTTAAGCAGAAGAATACATATTGGGCAAAGCTGGCCTGGAACACCATGTAAAATGTGATAGTCCCTGTAATGAGTGCAACTGCTACTAAGAATGGCAGGGAAGAAAAGAAGTTGGCTAATATAAAAGCTCCAACTCCATAGTGTCCATTTAGCCTTTCTTTGGTAAATACTCTCATTTCTTCTACAAACGAAGGGAAGCCTCCGATGGACATAAATGTCATGTATCCTGTAACAAATCCGCCACAAGCTCCGCGAGCTAAGATTGCAGTATAACTGGTCCCCACACGGAAAAATAGGGTCCCAACACTTACTGATACAATTATGTAGATAATTATGCGTGACCAATAGTATCCCAGGTCCCTTCTCATGTTCACAAATGATCTCTGAGTCAATGTCACTAGTTGTTTTCCCCATCCTGCTTGACTTCCTTTTATTGTTTCTATTTCAATATCATGCTGCACAACGAGATGAATATTATGTCAATAAGTTATTGAAAATACTTTCCATCTCATACATACACGCACGCACATACATACTAGGTTTTCACCCAGCAAACAAAAAAACAGTCTGTCTTTTCTAAAACTATGCAAAGTTTTTCCTTCATCAATTTTTTTCCTGTGTCGAAAATCAGAAATTATAACTTAGAAAATTTTACGTCTTTCGTTCTTATTTTGTTGCAACAATTTAACTTTCACATTTGCCAACACACACCGGTTAAGGTTTTCTTGTGTGACTCAGAAAGAAGTCACAGTTTCACGTCTTGGGAGTGGCCTCTTGTCAAATTTGACAGGTGAAAGCTTTCCCTTTATAAACCCTTGTGATGAGACCCTTCCCCGAACCCTCACCTTGCAGGGATGCGTTCGTGCACTGGGCTGCCCCTTTTTATGAGTAAAAACTATAAAGTATTCATATTTTGAATTGTTAGACTGAGAAAAATTCAGACAATATTTTTCATGATGTGATTATTACATACATTAATAAATAAACTTTGGTCAAAGAAGAACACATAAATAGTGTACAAGTTAGACCGTTACAATTAAAAAAAGCATGGAGGTAGTAATTTTCGCTAGGGCAACAGTGTTTGTTTCCCCCCATAAAAACATCATGTTTAGTGGGGAAAGAGTTTATAGACGCACTTAATTATTTGTTGTAAATAATATAGTTTTTAAATAAAGTTATTAGTGCATTGATTCTAATGCACATTGGTGTCCTACAAGATGAGAGTTTGGGGAAGGCTCTCACCACGGGGTATATAGGGGCAAGCCTTCTTTTGTCATTTTGAAGCTCCTTTTCATATAAGTTAAATACATTACTAATTGAAAAATTTATATTACTTTTAGAATCCTTTATGAATCATATTATTAAAAGATATCATAAATTTTAGCGAAAATATATCCAGAAAAATGTCAAACGCTCCAAACGGTAGATGTTGTAGTTTAAGAATGAAAGTTTTGTACAAGTTTAGGAAGGGTGCTTTTGTACGTCAAAGAAAATGCAAACGTTAGGGCACTGAAATACATACAGTTTTAGAGAGCTCTTGCAACCTTGATCTGGCCCTCGCACCGTAGTCTGATCTTTTAAACTTTTCAACAAGCATAGCTTTGATATCTGCTGTAGCCATATTCATCAGATAATCACTCTTATCTGTTTCCTGGAAACACAATAGAATACTATCCTATAAGATTTTCTTTCTTTCTGTCTGCACGTACTCCGGCCTCTATGTACTTGTGAAAAAATAGACATCACCAGCGGAACCAAACTGCAACTGATTCTTCTTACCTGAAGACGCATTGAGCCTTTCAATGTTGCAGTGACAATGTCAAAGTCAGAATTGATACAGCGTAGAAAGTGGTCAGATGGATTTCTTCTACTTGGACATGGAAATCCCGCTTCAGCAAAGAACTGAACAGCGGTTTTGGCCTCTCCGAAATAAACGGTCTCTCCTCCGGAGAGCAAATAGAGGTCATCAAACAAAGCAAACACTTCACTGCTGGGCTGATGAATAGAAGAGATAACTGTTCTCCCATCGCGAGAGATGTTTTTAAGAGCTTGGACCACAAAGAAAGCGGAGGCGCTGTCAAGACCGCTAGTAGGCTCATCAAGAAACAGTATGTGAGGGCGCACAAGGATTTCGAGTGCAATGCTCAACCGCCTCTTCTCCCCGCCACTTATGCCTCTCATCTGCCAATTCCCCACCACCCGATCGGCGCAATCCACGAGCCCCATTTCCAGGATCGTTCCCTCCACAATTCCTCTTATGTCTTCATTACTTAAGGTGGTTGGGAGGCGCAGTTTTGCCGAGTATGTGATGGCTTCTCTTGGTGTTAGTGTTCCCAGCAACACATCTTCTTGTGTTACATACGCCTGCATGTTTCATTTATATCATTTACGTATACTTTTCAATATTATTAGCATTCACCTAAAAATGACTACTCAGACCAAATCGTAGTCGAGCGTAAACATTTACACAGGACCAACTCCAAAAGTTTGTAGATCAAAACTCATTGTTCAGACAAATAGAACATGTCCAGAATAACTATCTTTATCTAATAAAACTGTTTTATGATACTAATCCAACTTTGAATGATCCAATAATACCTGCCTGACACCTCCCACTCGAAAGTAGGGTATGGAGAAGGTGAGTCTACCTACTTAAAGGAAAATTCTAAATTTGTTGAGGAATTTAATAAAAATTTGAAGTAGAAACTAGAAAAAAGCTCCCCCAGGGGTAAAACAAAAAAAAACTTTGCTTTAGAACGTTTCATCAAGTTGGCGAGACCTTTTTAACATTATTTGTAACTTGACATCTAAGGACTCAAAAGATACCAATTGACAACATAATTGCAGTCTCTTTTTGTAACTAAACCTAGCTTTTATAGCACCACAAACAAACCATAACTCCAATTCTCCAAACATAAATAATAAAATAAATGAGTAATAAACAAATAAGTAAATATGTGTGCAAGTTTTGAAATATGTACATTGTGTGTAGCTTACAACCGATTCATTGGCCAATAAATATTTCTATAAAATTCCATATGTTGTTTTATATAAAACAATTAGAAGATACATGGCGATTACTCATTTCATTATACTCTCTCCATCCCATAAATGTCTTATTTGAATTTGACAAGTTTATTAAGAAATTAATAATTGAAACGTGAAAGCAGAGGTCCAGACTTGAATGGAAAAGAATGAAATAATGAGAACCACGTAAATCTTTTTCCTACTAACAGGAAATAACACATAGTTTTGTATGGACTAAAAAGGAAAACAAGATATTTTATAATTCGAGACAGAAGGGATATAATGAAAATTAATGTTTAGCTTCAACACACAAACTTAGGAAAAAATACTTTGTCTAAAACTGCAGCAAAAATACTATTATATGATTAGAATACTCTTTATACATGACGTAGAAAGACAAGAATTGTGGAATATGGGTTTGCAGTATACATATTCAAAAAGAACACTTGTTTGATCAAAATAAAAGGATAAACCGAATCTACTTACGACAACGCCATAGCTCATTCGCCTCTTCTTCCCGTTAAGAAGAATATCACCTGTCATCGCAACATTGCTTGATAGCCTACCTGAAATGAGACCAAATCACTCTTATTATTCAACATTTGAAATGACATTGTGATGTAAAAATGTAGGAGTGTGCAAAAACTGAGTCAACCCAAGAAAAGAGAATCAGACCTAAGAAACTAGAATCTAAGCGGAATGATATCCATTATGGTTCATAATTATGAAGTTTTAGAAAATCAAATTCTGGTTTGGTTGTTGATAAAAACTAGATTTATTTGGTTTCATCCTTATATAACTGGCTTGGATAGGGTTTTATATTTAAAGAATTAATGAAGAGTGTTTATTATTGGACTATGGAGTATTTGTTTTTGGAAAATATTTCAATTTTTTTCATAAGTCGATGTGATAACTATCTTATTCTTTAACCAAATAGATAATGTTTTGTGTCGGGCTGTAGTACCTTAGATAATGTTGTTTTAGCTAGTGAGATTATTCATTATATGAAGTGTAAAACAAAGGTTGAGGGGAGCTGCAGCACTAAAGAGTGACTAGGAGTATTTGTTTGCAGTATTAGAAATAGATTAGTTTGATGAGAATGTGTGACTGCCGTCAGGTATACAATATTTGTTAATGATGAAAAGTTCGAGCCACTGAGAGTGTATAGAGGGTTAAGGCAGGGTGATCCTCTCTCGTCGTATAAATATTGCAGAAGCACATACATAAAACGGGATCAGATTGTTGTTCTGTAGCTTGGTCATGGTTGGGAAGTGGTAAATATCTTGCGTAAGCATGCATCTATATTAATATTATGATCAGAAAAGGTAAGAAGCCTATATATATATATATATTTGGGTTGGGTTCTAATAAGAAATATCTTAACGTGAGAAGTGAAAAGCTTCACACTTGCCTCTTTCTGATGCACTTTTGCGCTAATCTGGTGCACTTTTTGCGATGTGGAGGAGAATATGGACTCAAGTATATAGTGTGAGTGTATTATTGCTACTAGTGACTCTTGACTCTTGAGGAAGACATTGAAAGAACAACTTTGCTAGGTGTACCCACTCTTATACGTAGCTATGTGAGAGACTATTTTTTTGTGAATCCCGTTCACAGACAAAATGTATGACAACTAAAAAATATTCTCTCACAGGGGTCGATATAAGGGTGAGTATAGGGATGAGTATAAGAGGGTGGGTACAATGTTAATTAAGGGAGATCATATTAGATACTTTTGATTTATTGTTATTTTTGGTATTGGTTGTAAAAATAATCCCATGTCTTTGTGAACATTAGGTTACTCACTTTATGCACAAATATTATATTGCTTTGTTTAATGTCAATTTATTAATATTATTATCATTACAAAATGTAATGCTAATTATTATTATTATTATGAACAATTATTATTGTTACAGCTAATGTTATTTTTATTAATTATTAATAATAATAACAATAAAGTTCATATCAATAAAATTCAGATCAATTGAAATGATTTTTTGTAAATAAGAAGACACTGAATTTTGTTTTATTTTTCACTTGTAGTCCTTATTATAAAATTGACACCTTCAACATCATTAATTAATGAAGTAATTAATTAGGTGAAGCGACAGTACAACCTAACATGGGATCGAGAATTAATGGTGGGGTAAGACGGGCGGTGGGTGAAGATTTTTATGAATTGATTTAACATCTTAATTAATTAATTAAACCACCAAACAAAATTTAATTCTGCGCGCTACTGCCACTCCGGGTAATTAAATTTTATTTGAGTTGGACTTCTGAACCTGACCCGGATGCATATGATACCCCGTTAAATTTTGTCAAAATAAATTTACACAAAGTAAAGAAACCAAACGTGAAATTAATTTTTCATAAATTTATTACTTTACAAAATAACTGTAAATAATTTTTGGAGAAAGAAACCTCACAAAAAGATAGGTAACAAAATTCGAAACAGAATGCTTTTTATTTCTTGCTCCGATTCACACTTCCGTCCACTAATATTGGGATGGATGGGAAAGAGTAAAGTAATTAATAAAGTAAGAGTAAAGTAAGAATGATTTAGAGTGATACAAATTTTACTAAATTTGATATGGAACAATTTTACTGAGATTTCTCGAAAACAAGTAAAATGGAACAATATTAGAGGGACGGGAAGTAGTAATTACGCCATGAATAGGTAAAATAAATATGTTTTGAAATTTTAAAATAGAAATATCTGATAAATTTTCTAAATAAGACTAAAACAATGATATTGAAAAAAATTACTATCTACTATAAGACTTTAAATATGACATTAAACTGCTGCTGTAAGTGGAATTATTTTCTATTCAGAACATGTTTTGAAATTCGAAAATATTATTATTCCTATTCAGAACCATTTATTAAATTATTACAAAAATTCTTTTTGTACTACCTTCTTATACACATCAGCACACTCTCGTGTCTGTGAGAGTTTTTTTTGTCTATAAATCTCAGTCAACAGATGAGATCATATTGAGAAATTATTGATGTGTGTATAAGAAGATAGCGTTGAAATGATTATATTAGGGAGTACGTACTACTAAAGCCATAAAAGATAGGTATGATTACTAGCAGCTGAAGTATAAAATAGAACTAACATGAAGATATGATGATTTGTTTGTGAGCTAGTTTGGTCGATCAAATAATGTTTGTTGATTGAGTCAACGAAGGTTTTGTATAAAAAGCAAAACCTGCCAAGGAGTCGAGAAGGGTGGATTTGCCGGAACCAGAAGGGCCCATGATGGCCATAATCCGACCGGGCTGAGCGTAGCCGCTGATCCCATGAAGCAGCTTCTTTGTTGGGCCCTGCCCCACGTTCGGCAGCACCACCCTCAGCTCTTGCCACACCAGGTACGCCACCCCGCCGCCGCTCTCTACGTCCCCTCTTCTCCCCGCCGCCGCCTCTATCTCCATCGATCAGATCTCTCTTTCCTCTGCTTCCGGATCGGATTATATTGGATTGGATGCAGCAGTAAATAATATGGATGGATGGGTGCCCGGCTGTGCCAATTTAATGCTCTCACCTGTGCACTTCACCATTGGCCCGCCAATTTATTACAGTATCACTGTAAACGATTTCATTTGATGCAAGCCAATATCAAAAATTATACAGTATTTAAATAAATGTTTCTTATTAAATATATTTTCATATATACAAATATAATAATTTGTCCGTATTATTTTTTGAAAAACCATTTGTACACGTGATTTTCATATACGTTGTCAATGTAGGGTTATTTTTATCTTTAAATAGTTTATTCACCAACAATTAACAGCCTTCATAGGCAACGAGTATAGAAATGGCGTCTACAAGAAGCAGACATGTAATTTCTACTTAGTATTGAGTGATCCCCATTTTATTTCACGCTTTCAACAAATTATCCATCACTCTTTCATGCTCTTGATTCATTCATTATGTTGGATCTTGATGGATAGTCTACCCGGTATCCGAAAGGTTATTGCGGAGAGTAACTAGAGGAAAGTCAGAGTAAAAGTAAGAGAGAGAGTGTATTGCTGAGAATGTAATGAGCGATTTTTGCTTGGGTTACAAATGGGGAAAAGGGGCACTATTTATAGTAGTAATAAATGCCAGATAGGGACACGTGTCATCATTCTGGTGGTCGAGGGGTCACCTCAACGGGGTGGCACAGACATCCGCATGTGGCCACATTAAATGCGGCTGTTGGATGTGATGTCGTACTTGGTACGGTGATTCAGGCGCATGTGGAGAGGATATTATGTCGAGAAAGGTGCCCTCGGTTGCAGATGATTAGCCGAGGGCTCCGAGTACCGGGGACCTCCTTAGTGTCGAGGGCTACTGATTTTTGGCGTTTTCTCCCAGTAACTTTGTTTGCTTGAGTTGGCCATCCTGTGAGAATTTGGAGCCTTCGGCAAGGGGGCCGAAGGCACCCCCAGTGTGCCACGTGGGTTGCTTAGTACTTGGGGCACTGTGATTTGGGCCTGTTATGCTTCCTAGGCCTACTGGGCCTCCCTTAGAATAGTAAGAGTCTATGGGTCGAGGGTTCCTGGGCCATATACTCCATCAGGAGTCCCTCACTCCTTTTGCCGAAAGGTACTTGAGGGAAAAGGAGTAATTTGTGTTTGTCCTTTGGTTTTGTTCCGTTGTAGTTTGTAAAGTTTGTGGGTAGTTTGTTGTGTGCATGTTTCAGTCGAGGGCAGTCCCTCAGTTACCCACATTCCGGGACTTGAGGGATCATGCTTGTTGTTGTGGGAGTTTTTGACATTTTTTGTTTTTTGAGGTTTTTCCCGAAGGGGTTCTCCGTTCTTCGGTCCCTCACTCCTTGAGGCACTTGCAAAGTGGTGAAAAGGAGTAGAGTAGTGCCTGCCTGCAATATGAAGCTGAGGGGTGACGCTTTTCGTTTCATTTTGGGGGATACCTCGTTAAAAACCTCATTGGAAAAAACCTTGTGGGAAAAAATTCCAATGAGGGAAAAAAAGTGCACCGAATTCCCCCAATGATGAGTCGAAAAGGTAAAACCATGGTCTGAAATGAGTGGCAGTATTCTTGCCGAAGGCTATCTTTGTCTGAAGGTGCGTGTGTTGCTTTGCCGAAGGCTCGCTTTTGATATCCTGGGGGATGCCGGGGGGAGCCCCCAATTCATGAGAATGAGGGTGCATTGAATGTAGGTGATATTTCCTGTTCTGTCGAGGGGTCCCTTGTTTGTTGATGGGTGGGGGGTTGTGGCACCCCGAGGGGGTTCCTTGTTACGTAGCCGGGGGCAGCCTTTGATGAAGGTGTGCTCCCCGGGGGCTACGTGGTCTTCAATGTGTTTGAGGGTTGAGTGTTCCCGAGGGGTGTGCCCGTTGCGAAGCCGTGGACTTCTGAAGGGGTGAGCCCGAAGGCACATGTGATGTGTTATGAGGGGGATCAGCCAGGAGCACTTCCGGGTAAGCGTACCCGGGGGCTCCTCTTGATGAGGTGGAGTGAAGGAGGCAGCCCGGGTTCCCAGAATATAGCCGTTGTAAAAGAGCCGTTGGAAGGTGTAACGTCGGAGATATAGCCGTTGGAGGGGGGCCTCCACGTGGCGTGCGTTCGTTGGTTATCTGTGGGCGGGCGTCACCGATTGGGCAGCTCGTCGGTTTGTAATGATGACTTTGTACCGGAGGCCCGGTTTTCAGGCCCAAGCCCGAATCTGGGCGCCTATAAATACCCCAGGGCCAGGGTCACTTCCCTTTGTGCGATTTCAGTGTAGCGAAGCTCTGCCGAATTTTCTAGAGAGAGAAGCTCCAGCCTTCGGTCAAAACCAGTTCTCAGAGGTCAGTTCTTGCTCCGCTCTCGGCAATTCTTGCATACTTCACTTCCCGGCCTTAGATTAAGTGTCTGTAGCTTAGAGCCCTTAGAACCTCCCTCCGAACCCTCGATTTAGTATCAAAATGTCTTCACAAAGTGATTCCCAAGACATTTCGATGGAGCCTTCAGTTGAGGCGGAAACATACTTTGACATCGAGCCTTCAAGCGAGGAGTCTTCGGCGGGTGATGACGCTGTTGTGGCCATGGAGGTGGAGAAGGACCTCAGGGCCGAGGTCGAAACCGAGGACTTCGAACAGGTAAACGAGGATGAAGAGCTCGCCCTCGCTGTGCAGACTGCTGAGGAGGAAGAGGAGAAGGAGAGAATGAGGGTGACTGTCGCTATCCTTCCCCCTCGCGGCGCCGGGGAAGCCAGCACCTCTCGGCTCTTGAACCCGACTCCTATCAGTGTGGCTCCCGAGAAAAATAAGAAGACGAGGGCTGCTCCAAAGAAGAAACAAGCAGCCGTGGATGCCAGGCGGCCAGTAGGCATACCCGAGGGCCATTCCTTCCTGAACACCGACGCCCTAGAGTTGAAGACGAGGGCGTCCCCGGCGGAGTACCAGGCCATTCAAATCCCGGTTGGCCCTTCGGCACGTGTGGTCGAGCCAGGGGCCGATGATCTATTACGATACGCACTCGAGGGCTGCTTCGTTGTTCATACCCTGTCAGTGGAGATGGGGCTTCGCTTTCCGTTCCACCCCTTTCTGCTGGAGTATCTGAGGTTTGTGGGGCTAGCCCCCTATCAGCTAACGCCCAACAGCCATTCTTATGTGGCCGGCTATCTCTCCTTGTGCCGGAGTCGAGGGGTTCCACCTACCCTCGACCAATTCTTCATGTCCTTCAACTTGTGCCGGGGGGCATTCGAACGCTGAGGGCTTTGCCAACCTTCAACAAGTACCAGAGTTCAGGCTTTTTGATGACGTGCCTTCGTCCCACAAGGGATGGAAGGATCGGTTCTGTTACATACGCCTGGAGGAGAACCCCTTTCCGGCCCCGCTCCGCAACAGCTTCCGGCGTCATCCGAAGGTAGGGAGTGCGGCCTTGGAGAAGAATGGCAGGATACTCACCAAGAAACCGGAGGGGTCCGACAAGCACGTTAAAATCAAAGATGTCACTCTCCCTGACGAATTGTTCAAGCTCGGCTTCTGGCAGTATCGGCCGAGGGGCTCATCGGATGAAAGATACCCTCCGTTAGATTGTGTATTCGAGGGAGCCGGAGGTGATTATCGAAGGGTTACGCGTTTTGTACTTAGAGAATCTTCCTTCGTTTTTTTTGTTCAATCTATGTCATTGTAACTGATACCCTTAGGCCTAATCATTCTGTGTCTTATCTTTGCAGGTAGCGATATGGACGTGAGCTCTCTCTTCACCCTGAAGAACGCCAAAGGGAAGAAGAAGGGTCCAGTGGGCGCTTCTGCCAGGGAGGAGTCCTCCCAAGCTGTTACTGTCGGTGCTGGCGCCGGGGGGTCCAAAGGCGCTGGGGCCTTGAAGAAAAAGAATAGTGGCAAGGGGACCGAGCCCCCGGCCAAGAAGTTGAAAGCTAAGGTTCCCGACAAGTAGCCGACCGCTGACGTTGTCGTCATTGTGGACGAGGGGCACGCCTCCGGTCCCACCCCTCAGGAGCACATCAACCAAGACTTCTTCGGCCGGGAGAAGTTGGAGGCGATAGTGCCGAAGGGGGCATCCGTGCTGGAGGGTAGCCTCAACCCGTCGGCACTGATGAGCCAGATGCTGCCCTCGGCCGATCGGCTGGTTCTCGCTAGGATGGACGATGGCTCCCTCGAGGCCAAGATTCTGCTGAGCAGTGCCTCCGTGAGTCACGTTCTTCTTTTTCCTTTGTATTTGCTTTTGTTCTTACGTATTGTGTTCACCATGTCTAATCGTTATCCTTGTTGGTTGTAGAACTTCATGGGCCTCTGTGAGCACCTCCGAAGGGTGGAGCAGATGAAGGAGGCGAAGGGTGTTGCCGAAGGGGAAGCTGCCAGTCTTAGGAAGAGGTTGGCTGAGGCCGAGGATTCCCTCCGCTTGACCACTGATAGTATGGAGCAGCGAGTGCAAGCTGCGAGGGCCGATGGGAAGAACGAGGGCCTGGCTGAGGCCGGGGAGGCTGCTGCCGAAGCCGCCCGCGTTGCTGCCGAGGAAGCCCGTGTGGCTAAAGAAGAGGCCGTTTCCAAAGCCCGGGAGGATGCTGTAGCTGGCTTTACTGCCGAGGGGTGGAAAGAGAGGAGCATAAGGAGTGGCTGTCCTCGGTGGTGGAGGCTTCGGTGGATGCTTGGGTTGGAGGCCCCGGCAAAATGTGGCTTGCTGAGAAGGGTGACTCCTACTATCAAGGTGGGGAGTTTTTCACCCAGCGCCTCATATACCGAAAGCTCACCAGGCACTTCAAACTCTCGCCGGAGGAGTTCCATCCCGAGGCTTATGGCCTCCCCCCTCGGCAACCAGACGTTAGGATCCCCCTCCCCGAAGGCGAAGAGAGGTCGGTGCTTGAAGATTCGGAGACCCTAAGGGAATGCGGCCTCGGAGGTGACGGGGATGAGGCCGAAGGCGAAGCCACTTCCAAAGCTGTCGACGGGGGCGACGTTGTAGCTACCAATTTGTAATTTGTATTCTGAACAATTTTTGACGCACCTTTGTAATCACATTGCTTAACTTTTGGCTTCGGCCCTTATGAACACCCTGCCCTATGTTTTTGATGAATTGATGCCTCCGGGCTTTTGTATATAACATGTTTTGTTTTTGAATGTATGCCTTCGTCTTTCTTTGTGAAATGAATGCCTTCTAATTATGCCTTGTGAATGAATGCCCTCGTACTTTGATGCTTAGGTTGTCAGTTGTTTGGGACTTAGAAAAATTTTCTTAGTGTTGTTCTCCCACCGGGCCTTCGGTTGTGTGGCCCCTCGGGCTGCATGAGTGTTTGACCGAGGGCGAAATATTTAGGACTTAGAAATTTTTTTAAGTGTAGTTTCACCAAGCCTTCGACCGTATGGCCCCTCTGACTGCATGGAGATTTGACCGAGGGTCAAAAACATTTAGGACTTAGAAAATATTCCTAAGTGTAGTTTCACCAAGCCTTCGACCGTGTGGACCCTCTGGCTGCATGGAGATTTGACCGAGGGTCAAAAATATTTAGCACTTAGAAAATATTTCTAAGTGTAGTTGTATGGGATAGGAGCCTTCGGGTGAATGTGAGAGCCTTGTCGTAGGTGTGCCTTCGGTTGACCGGTGACTCGGCAGGGGGCAAAGCATTTAGGACTTAGAAAATTTTTCTAAGTGTTTGAATATCATCTGGCCTTCGGTATGTGGGCATTTCTTGCTGCATGAAGTGGGGTGACCCTCGTTGCAATGTGAGTTTACCGAGGGCCACACGCTTTATGACTTAGAAGTTTTTTCTAAGTATTTCCTGTTGCTGGCCTTCGGTGCGGGCCCTCTATGGGACTAGAATAATTTCCCTTGTCTCGCAAGGTTGACCCGTGGCAACAAAAGCCTTCGGCTGTTGTCATGTCTCCACAGTGTTGACTTAGGAAATTTTGTAGTTCAAGTGCAGCATAAAAAGACAGACTCCCTCGGACAACGCCTGGGTGTATCCCCTCGGCGTCTAGTGAGGTGCCGGAGGTGATTCTCGCTTGGACTTGGCCAACATCTGATAGCATTTGTTGTATAGTATCCTTCGGGGACGTTTTTGAATAGTTGCTGAGTGAACCTATCAAAGTTCTGTAGGATTTGAGCCTTCGGTTTTGATGTAGCCGGAGGCAATCAAAAAGTGGACTTAGCCATTTGTTGATGATGCTTGTTGAATAATATCTTTGGTAATCAGGAGCTTCCAGGTACCGAAGGTGTTCCCGTGGGGAGCCCTTGGTATGTTCCCGTGAATTGTTGGAGTGGTGTACCCATTGATTTCTCGCTGAGTCTACTCCCCTTCACCACCCCATTTTTTTTGGTAGTGAAAGGAAGGCTTCAAGAAACTTGGTTTCTTGGTAAGGCTTGGTCTATCGGGAGGTAATAGAATACACCATTAGCTCCCCCCTCGGGTTAACCTTTCGGGTTCCGAGGGGATCGAGGGTCGTTTCCTAGGCACAAGACATTGTCTGTAGCTTGCCTCCCCTTGGGAGATGGCACGGAAAGCGCCTCAGTTTTGAAAGTCGTCCCCTCGGCGCCAGACGTAGTCCGTGGCCTGCCATACCCTTGGGGTAGTGGCGCGGGGAGCGTTTCGATTTGGAAGTCGAATTCTGGGCATATCAGATGCCTGCCAATCCCTGGGGGAAATGGCGCGGAAAGCGTTCCGTTTTTGAAAGTCGAATCCTGGGCATATTACTTGTTTGTCATACCCTTGGGGTAGTGACGCGGAAAGCATTTCAGGGAAGGGTTTTCATTTGCACACTGGTTGCAAATGGCCGGGGGCACTACGTGCTACCGGCACCGATAGGTGGCGCCTTCGGTATATGCGTCCTCGAGGGGTACGAATTTAGAAACAACACTTGGTGTTTGTTCTGGCATACGGCCCCCAGTACTTAGTACCGAGGGGTCTTCTTTAAAAAACACTTGGTGTTTTTCTTCACTTGTTGTAGGTGATTGAGGTGCCTTCCCTCGGCACTTGGTACCGAAGGGTCCTCAAAGGAAACACTCGGTGTTTTCTTCCGTTTGCTGAAAAGTGGCAGTAGTGTATGCCCCCGGCATTGAAGGGTCCTCAAAGGAAACACTCGGTGCCGAGGGGTCTTCATTGAAGACGTTTGGTGTTTTCTTCCCTGTTGTAGGTGATAGTATAGTCTACCCTCGGCACTTGGTGCCGAGGGTTCTTCCTTATGATAAGGCCTTGGGCCAGGGGCTGATATGAGGGCTTGGCCGCTCATAAGAGTCTCGTTCCATGTTCTTGGTGTCTTCAATATGCCTTCATTCTTCAAAAATTGGAGGCCTTGGGCCGTAAAATAATACATTCACTAGTCATGAGGGCTTGGCCGCTCTAATGTTATTGATAAAATTTAAGTAAGTGATGTACATTCCAGTGTCTAGGGACCTCGGTCCCATTGGGGCGTTTGAGTTTGTAAGTTCCAGGGTTGATGATAGCTGTCACTATGTAAGGGCCCTCAAATTTGGGCGCCATTTTGCCTCCCTCGGTTGGTTGGCTAGCTTCCCTCCTTCGTAGGACATAGTCCCCCACTTGGAATTCCCGGGAGCGGACTTTGGCGTCAATGTAACTCTTCACTTGCCTTCGGTAGTTTTCCGCGCGTATGAAGGCCTGCTCTCGGCGTTCTGAAATTAGGTGAAGGTCGAGGGTCGTATTGGCGTCGTTGACCTCGGGATCATATTGTGTGACCCTTCGGGTCGGAAGAGTTACCTCAGTGGGGGCCTTAGCTTCAAATCCGTAGCAAAGGGAGAAGGGTGTCTCGCCCGTTGCTCGTCGAGGGGTGGTGCGGTAGGCCCATAAGATGTTGTGGAGCTCTTCTACCCAACCACCCCCTTCGGCCTCCAGTTTCTTCTTTAGGCCCTCGAGCAAGGTCCTGTTGGCGTTTTCCACTTGACTGTTGCCTTGAGGGTAGGCAACGGATGAGAAGGTGTGTTTGATGCCCCATGCCTCTAGGAGGGCACAGAAGGGGGCTGCCTCAAACTGAGTCCCGTTGTCGGAGACGATTTGTTGGGGGACGCCAAACCTTGTGAGGATGTTCTTGAGAACAAAATGGCGGCACCTGGCCTCGGTGATGCTGGCGAGGGGCTCAGCTTCCACCCATTTGGTGAAATAGTCGATGGCGACAATGATGTACCTGTTGTTGGAGGTACCCCTCGGCAGAGGGCCCACAAGGTCTATACCCCATCGAGCGAAGGGTATGGATGTGCTGATGGGGGCATAGTTGACCGCTGGCCTGCCGGGGACTTTCTGGAAGTGTTGGCATGCGGTACACCTTCGGGCGAGATCCGCACAATCTCGGACCATTGTAGGCCAAAAGTAGCCCTGGATTATGAGCCTTCGGGACATGGAGAAGGGTCCCTGGTGAGCTGAACAAGTGCCACTGTGCACTTCCTCCATCGCAACTTCGGCTTCATCTTGATGAAGGCACCGAAGTAGTGTCCCGTTGTATGATCTTTTGTAAAGCCTTCCATCTTCGATAATGTAGCTGGGAGCCCTCAGCTTTGCTAGTTTGGCACGGGCCTCATTTTCAGGCAGTTGCCCTGTGGTGATGAAGGCGACAATATCTGAGATCCAGTCCTCTTGCCTTTGTTGTATGTGCATGATGGGACTAGCATGTATGTTGGAGAGGCTGAGCTCCTCGATTTTGGCAATCTTTGAGATATGTTTAGGGGAGTCGGCCGAGAGCTTCGATAAAATGTCGGCCTCGGAGTTTTGAGCCCTCGGTATTTGAGTGAGGGAGTGTGCCTCAAATACCTTGCGCAATTCTTTAGCCGCCTCGTTGTATTGTTTCATTCTTCCTTCCTTGGCTTCGTACTCCCCAGAAATTTGGCCGACGACTAACTTGGAGTCGCACTTGACGTGGATCAGTCGGGCCTTCATGTTAGTCGCCAGCCAGAGGCCACAGAGGAGTGCCTCGTATTCGGCTTCATTGTTGGAGACTTTGAAGGAGAAGCGGACTGCGTAATAGGTCCGGAAGCCTTCGGGTGAGATGAGAACCACCCCTCCTCCACATGCTTTGACAGCGGAGGAGCCGTCGGTGTAGAGGGTCCACCAATTGTCTGAGGGGGCCAAGGGCTCCTCATCCGTGGTTGATCTTGTCGTGCACTCCGTCACGAAGTCCGCCAGGGCTTGGCCCTTGATGGCGGGCCTAGGACGGATGTCGATGTTGTATTGGCTCAGGAAGACAGTCCATTTTACCATTCGGGAGGAGCTGGGGGGCTCCTCATCAAAGCGCCGAGGGGTTGGTGAGTGAGGACCTGGACCGGGTGAGCTTGGAAGTAATGGCCCAACTTCTTGACAGTCCACACGATAGCCAACACCGTTTTTTCCACAGGGGAATACCGGAGTTCTGCTTCCCTGAGGGTCTTGCTAACATAGAAGATGGCATGTTGGATGCCATCCTCTTCCTGGATGAGTACTGAGCTGATGGCTGTCGGGCTAACACCCAGGTAAAGGTATAGGGTCTCCCCCACCTTGGGTTTAGAGAGCACAGGGGGTGAAGATAAGTACCGTTTCAGTTCCTCGAAGGCCCCCTGACACTCTGAAGTCCACTGGAAAGCGGCGGTCTTTCTCATGATCCGGAAGAAGGGTAAGGACTTCTCCGCCGGGCGGCCTGTCAACCGTTGGACCTCCTTCACGTTGCGTGGGGGTTCCATGTTGATGATGGCCTGGATCTTCTCGGGGTTGGCCTCGATACCCCTTCGGCTCACCATGTAGCCTAAGAATTTGCCCCCTTGTACGCCGAAGGTGCACTTCTTCGGGTTTAGCCAAAGGTTGAACTTCTGCATGATGGCGAAGATTTCCCTTAGGTCGTCAGCATGGCTCGTTGATTGCTTGCTTTTGACGATCATGTCGTCAACATATTCCTCCATGGTGCGCCCTAGGACAGCTTGGAAAACCCTGACCATCATCCAGGTGTAGGTGGCGCCTGAGTTCTTTAGGCCAAAGGCCATGACAAGGTAGCAGAAGATGCCCTCGGGAGTCATGAAGGCTGTTTTTTCAGCGTCTTCCTCATGCATAAAGATTTGATGATAGCCGCGGAATGCGTCGAGAAATGACATGATTTCACACCCCGCAGTTTCATCTACAAGTTGATCAATATTCGACAATGGAAAGGGGTCTATGGGACACGCCTTGTTGAGATCC